TTAAACAAAAGATCTGGTATATTAATAAAAAACACTGAAAAAACATATTACTATGGCTAAGATACTTAAATGTCCAGATTGTGATCGAGAAATAAGAATTGGTAAAACTCGAGATCTTAATAAACACATGAATTTAAATGGAAATCTTTGTAAAGGACAATGCCAACCAGCTTTGCTTATAATGCAAAATGTAGGAAACGTTACTCCAAAGCAAAATATACCTCAAAATGAAAACGTTACTCTAGAGCAAAATCTGCTATCAACTCCTGAAGGTGATCTCATATCGTTCGATAAAAACCCACCAACACTTCAGCCAAGAGAGGCAAGTGCGCCGGCAGTCGACCCTTTAACTAATGATGTTCCAAATATAGAAGCAGGATCAAGTTCTAATACTCAAGAAGAACAAAAAAAGAAATCAATTTTAACAATAGATGAATTAATAAAATGGTTATCAAAGCCGGAAATAAAAAACAATAAAAAAATTAGATCAAAGCATATATCTAAAAATGATAAAGAATGGTATGATTTAATGGAAATAGATAATGAAAAAGATAGCGAACCAAGTGATTCAGAATATGATACTGCTGAAGAAAAACCAGATATTCATTTCGAAAAAATCAAGGATTCATACATTAATAGAATAGCAGAAGCCAGAAAATTTAATGAAGATGAAGTATGTGATTATTATGCATTTGTACCAAAAGAATACTATGCCGAGGGCGAGCCATTAGTTTTCTTTGAATCAATCGAAGAAAAAATTGTAGATATTTATAAAAAAGAGTTAGCTTTAAAAGGTGGATTAAAAGTAAGAATCGTGTTATATGCATATATGAAGAAAATTAAACCGGAAACTCCAGAACCTTTATATAAAACTTTTTCATTCAAGCATGAAACAATAGAAATTATTAGAGAAGATCGAATTAATGCAACAATAGAAAAAGGATATAATAAAATTATAGATCAAATAGAAGACGAGGCATTACAAGAATCTGGATAATTATTCGTCCAAGCAGAAGAGGTATTTCTTGAAATAAGCGCATTCAGACCATTGCAAGGTAGTAGTTATCTACCTTTACCAGAAGCTTTAGATAAGCCACAACTAGGAATAATTAATCCACAAAATAGGGATGATAATGAGTGTTTTAAATGGTGTATAAGTGCATATTACACAAGAGAGAAAGCAATAAAAGCTAGTAGAAAGCCACCACATCTTAATGAAATCCGGAGACTTAGACGAAATACAAATATAGCAAATTTTGAAGGTATAAAATTTCCAGCAACACTCCATGATATAGATAAATTCAAAGAAAGCAATTCTAATTATGCTATCAATATATTTAAACCATTTTATAGAGAAGCTTTCGGAAAAATAAAAGTAGATATAGATCCATTACATATTTCAGAACGTAATTATCAAGTAGAGCATATGATAGATTTATTATATTTAATAGAAGGTAAAGAGAGTTTAAATGATCGAAAAAATCAAAATGATATACTAGAAGGCTTAAAAACACATTATGTATATATAACAGATTTCGAGCAATTAATGCATAAGTGAAATAACCATCATGATAAAAAATACTTTTGCCGAAAATGCTTGTGATTTCCATATAGTCGATTAGATTTATTACAGAAATATATTTTTACATATCCAGGTTCAAATAAGGCTTCACAACATTTAATTCTCCCAGAAGAAGGTAAGAATTATGTAAAACCCAAGTATATCAAAAACATGTTAATAAAACCTTATTTAATAACTATGGATTTAGAAGCCAAAGAAATTGAAGCAGATGAAAAAGATAAAGAAGAAAATACTAAAAAAGAAACGAAGCAGATAGTAGTTTCATATGGATATACTATTCATTGTTTAGATGGAACAACACAAAAACCAGTAATTAATCGAGAATTAGAAAATATAATAAAAGACTTAATGGAAAACCTTCAAGAAAATCTAGAAGTTATTTTAGATAAGCTTTGTGAAATAGCTCTATGTGAAAAAATGACACCTGAATTATGGTAAAAATATCAAACTGCAAACAAATGTTGGATATGTAAAGAAAAATTACATGAAGCTGTAAATAATAAAATTCGTGTATTCGATCCTGAAACCAAAAAATACTTGGGTGCTTCGCATAGAAAATGTCATGGGAAAAAATTAATAATTCAAGGTAAGTTAGATGATGAGCAAAAAGAAAAACATAAATCTTGTTTGTATTGCAAAACGCATTTACTAGACAAGGAAAAAATAGAGTAATAGATCATAACCATATTACAAAAAAGTTTAGAGAACCAGCTCATAGTGGATGTAATTTAAAATTACAAATCGATCCAGAAACAATAAAAATCCCGTACTAATTTGTAATGGAAGTGGTTATGATTTCTATCATCTTATACAAGAAATAGCAAAAGTGACAGATAAAAAAATAGTGCCGATAGCAAATAATTTAGAACAATATATTACTTTCTCGGTTAGTCAACTTCAATTTATTGATAGTTTGAAATTTTCATTACCTGGTTTAGCTAAGATGGCAGAAAACTTACATAATAAAAAGAAGGGCCAAACTAAAACACCAGAACAATTAGCAAAATGTTTTCCAATTATGTCAAAATTCATCTCACCTCATTTATTATCGTAAAGGAATATTCCCATATCAGTAGTTAACTAGTAAAAACAAATTCAAAGAAACACAACTACCTCCTCGAAAAGATTTTAATAGTGACTTGGATGGAGTAAATTATTGTGAGCAAGGATGTGAAAGCAAAGAATGTGAACATGAGAAAATTTACACAATAACTCAAAAGGACTACGATTTTGCTCATACAGTTTGGAAAGAAACTGCTTGTAAAACCTTTGGTGATTATCACGATATTTACCTCAAAATGGATGTTCTTATATTAGCAGATGCATTCGAGGCATTCCGAAAAGCTTTATATGAGGCATTCAAGTTAGATCCGGCAAATTATCTAACAGCTCCAGGGTTGGCGTGGAATGTGTGTATGAAGATAACTAAAGTAAAATTAGAACTATTTCACGAACATCAAGGAGATATGCATGATTTCTTTATAGCAATGAAAAGAGGTGGAATGTCATTAGCTAGAAGGCATATAGCTAGAGCAAATATTCCTGAACTAGAAGGATATGACAGGAAAAAAGCAAAAAAATAGTTACTCTACTTAGACGCCAATAATCTATATAGTTGGGCAATGTCTCAATATTTACCAACCGGAGGATTTAAATGGGTATCTAATCAATTTATAAAAACAACTCAACCATTAGTGCAGAAAATTTTATCATTAAAAGAAAATTCAAATCGAGGATGTTGTTTAGAAGTTAAGTTATCAATTCCAAAAGAATTACATCTCAAGTTTTGAGATTTTCTAATATGTCCAGAATGAAAAAAAGTACTATATGATTGGTATAGTTCAAAACAAAAAGAATGGACAGGTAAACAATATCCAGATTCGGAAAACCTTATATTAACTTTTCATAATAAAGATAATTATGTTATTCATTATAGAAATTTACAGCAATGCATAAAGGAAGGCTATATTCTTGAAAAAGTATATCGGATTCTAGGATTTAATCAATCTTTATGGATAGAACTATATATAGCAATGAATACTCAACGATATGCAAAAGCAAAGAATGCGTTTGAAAAAGACTTCTGGAAATTGATGAATAATTCAGTATTTGGGAAAACTATGGAGGATGTGAGAAAGCGAGTGAATATAGATTTGGTTCGTCAGGTAGGTGAAGAACGATGATTACACAGACTAATTTCAGATCTAGTATTTGTTAGTCGGAAAATTCTCTATGGAGCAAATTTAGTAGCAATACATTGAAGACAAACCAATGTAAAACTAAATAAGCCAGAATATGTTGGAGCATATATTCTTGATCTTTCTAAATATTTTATGTATGACTTCTGGTACGGATATCTCAAAAAGAAATATGAAGATCGGGTAAGGCTTTTATATACTGATACAGATTCTTTAATTATAAAAATTGAAACCGAAAACATTTATCAGGACATTGATCAATAATTGCGATTTATTTGATTTTAGTGATTATCCCGAAGACTATTGGGTGATAAAAAATCTTCTAGAAGATTAGTGGATAATTAATGATGAAGGTAAGCATGTCTTAAAAAATACAAAAGTTATAGGTAAGTGGAAGGACGAAAATGGAGAAGATCGTGTTATTGGCTATGCAGGAGTTCGCGCAAAATGTTATCCCTTAAATTGTAACACAGGCAAATTTGCCTGCGAAGATTTTTACTAATTTTTTTAATATTTAAATTTTTT